GCGCCGCTCCCAGCAAGAACAACGCTCCCACTCGAGATTTCCTCTCTTTTTCCTTTTTACGACGACATGGGAGCGGTTACGGATGAAACTGATTTCACAGGTGGGTGTGTCCACGTGTGGCGGGTGCGACCACACCAGCAGCACCGAAGCCCTGACTGGTACCGCCGTACCCGCATTATAGTTAAATACATTCCTTGCTCGTCGCTGCAGTGCCGAACTGCCTCTTGCCTGCTATGCTAGGCCTGTCGCTACAAAGGTGCAGCACGCGTGGTGCGGGCTGGCAAGCGCTGTGCGTTGGAATTCCCTGAAAGGCGGCCCAGGGAGGAAACCCAGCATCTGACCAGAGCCGAAGACTTACAGACAAGCTGTTCGGGTGGGATGTGGCAACAAAAGAAGGTCCTGCTATGGCGGGTGACGAAAGAGGGGGGGGGGGGGATTCTCCTCATCTCCTCCTCGGAGGTAGCAGGAATGAGGGAGAGTGAATAGGAGTCTAGCTACGGCTCTGTACGAGGGGGCGTCGGAAAAGACCTCGTGGAGCACATCAGGAGAATAAAAATTCGGCAGCCTCCTCATCAGCGGCTAGATCGTGGGTGCGTGCCTCAGGATCAGCATTATCTGAAGGAAGGTCGCCTGACATCTGATGTGCGAGGTCGGTCTCGGGAGCTACTGCAGGCGTTGCTGCAGGGAGTGTGCCGCCAGGCACGAATCGGATCATCCTGTCATTCGTCGGAAATGGTCCAGCCATGTCGATATCTCCTCCTCCAGCCAGCCCGCTGGGGCTGGGCCCAGGTGGTGCTTCGCGATCCCTTCTGAGCGTAGGCCAGCGAGCAGGAGGCCTCGTCCCTGCCAGTCCTTGGCGCCGAGGATCAACTTGGCGATGCTCGGGTCGTGCGTCGTGTCGATGCGCAGGAAGGCGACTTCGGTCTGGAGGGTCTCTACGTCGATCAGTGGCTCGAGCTGAGGGTCCTCTGGCTGGCATTTCTCGAGGTACTCTTCGATCTCTTTGCGGACTCGGCCTCCCGCTTCGCATGTCAGTAGCCCTTCCAACATGGCGAGCGCGAGTGCGGGGGTCGGTGGGCCCAGCATCTTGAGCGCCTCGGTGTCCTTGTTGGTGCGGTAGTTGTTGACCCGCGTCTTGAAGCCCTCGAGTTCCGTCGAGATGTGGGAGACCGTCGGGTGGTTGATTGGTAGCGTCCATGTGTCGGCCACCGTGCACATGATCATCCGGATTTTTTGAGTGTTCTGAAGTGTGAGTGTCATCAGCGAGGTGAGCAGCATCTGCGTGTTCTTGTCTTTGTTCGTCCACTTCTTGTCGGTGTGCTGTCCTCGGTGGGCTCGTCGTCCGCCTCTGCGTCGAGCGCGGCGAGGTTCGTTCTGTGGCTCCTCCACGTCCATGTCGTCGTCCTCCTGGTCCGCTGCCGGCGTCGGTTGGCCCTTGCTGCCCTTGGCCCCCTCGACCTTGCGTCGGCGCTGGGGTGGTTCGTCGGTCTTGGAGTCGTTGCCAGAGGTGCCAGACTTGGTCAAGGACGGTAGCGGGCCTCTCCACGGGGCACGTGCTCCGCGTCGCGGTGCTTTGGGTTGAGCTGGTATGTTCGGCGCCGCTGCTGGTGGCGTGCTGCTGTCCGCTGCTGAGGCCATCAGGTGGAGCTGTCGTCGGGCTGCGGGCTGGTTCTGCTGGTCGTAGTGGTCGCGGTAGTGTCGGGGTGGACGTCAAGGCTGTGGTAGTCGCACTGCTGGTGTCGTGCGTAGGTGGTGGTCGTCGAAGTTGCGGCTGTCGAGCTCGTGAAGTAGTCGATGCTGTGGCTGAAACTCGAGTATGTATGCCCAGCTGAAGCGTCGCTGCCTGTCGAATCTCTTGACGAAGCAGAGCGGCGTCGGATGGTCGCCGCAGCGGGGCGGTGAGGAATCGCTCAGGCACTGTCGGTCCGCGCGGGCGCGCCTCCCTCGCCGAGCGAGGCAGTGTCATGAGCCAAGGGCCACGCGGCGACGGAGGGATGTGCGTGCGGAGGTGGGATCGGAGCTCGTCGATGTCGTGATATTCTCGCTGACAATCGATGTCGGGGCTGATGTGTTCGAGCGGACATCGCGTGGCAGTAGTGGGCTGCCGCGCGTGCGCGTGGAGGGTGCGATCGATGAAGCATCGCCCTTCGATCCAGGGCCGTCGGCGATGGGTCTGGCAATACTTGATAGAACCGTACACATTATCACAAACCAGACATTTGTTGTCGAGAGTGATCGTAGATCGGATGGCGGGGGCTCCGTGTCCTGGAAGTGCTGCTGTTGTTTGATGTGCAATGAGTGCAGAGAACGTGCGGGAGGCCCTGA